TCCTCCCCCCCCAGCCATTCCCACACTCTAGTAATTCCTAGTCTACTCTTTGCAGAACACCTATTTCCTGACATGAGTAGAGACTATAAGGCCTCCTTATAAAAACTTGTTTTATATATATGCACTTATACTGTGTGTGTGTGTATATATATATGTATGTATGTATACTGTGTGTGTGTGTGTGTATTTATTGGGTCTTCAAAATAGTCATGACACATTTTTTGCATAGAAAAACACATCGTGGTTTTTCTGATTGATGACCTATATACACACACACACACATATATATGGTTTCCAGTATCTTTTATTTAATAATAAAGCAATCGAAAAAGGAAGACACCAGACTCCTAAACTGATAGAAGAAATCAGATCATCATGTATTTCATTCTTTATTATAGTAATGAAAACATTTCTCATGGGCAAACTCAGAGCAGCCAGGAAAATGCAGCCTGACTTCACAAAGAAAAAAACAAAAACACTAATGCATAGGAGAGATGTGGCAATTGGTTTAATTTCTTTTGGGCATACACTACATAATACATGCCATAGGCTCTCAGTACCTATTCCAAGCATGTATAAAATAACACATAGGCATTCTTTCCTGATAGGTCCTATTTTCCTGTGATTTTCAGTTTTATACACACACACAGATTTTGTACTGTAATGAAGGAAACGGATGGAGGAAGAAAAGTCACTTATAGTTCTACCTCCCCAGCAATTCACAAATCATTAATATATTTTACTTGAGTGTTTTGGGATTGCTGATGTTTTTTTGTTGGTGATGCTGACTTTGTCTAGGGGGCTGAGGAGTATTGGCCACTTTAGCAAGAATTCTTCCCCAATATAGAATTCATCCTGAGGGATACCTTTTATGTTTCTTCCTTCTTGTGGAAACCACTCAGAACATCCTTTCTTCTTACAGTATTATTTAACATGTAATATATTAACTAATAGGAATACCTCCCAACTTCTCCTAGGCCCCGGGTCGGCAGCTGACTATATTCCTGTCCTCATTGTATGTGCTTGTGTTCAGAATAGAACTGAGGCTTCTGACATTGCTTATTAACTAACATTCTCTCAATTCTTCATTCCCTCCCCCCTTTCTCATTTTTCTACTTTAGCAGAGCTCAGAAAATCAGCTGCCGAAGAACAGAAAGATCAAGAAGAAAAGGAGGAAGAAGACGATAAGACAGCAATCCACAGAGCACGTGAGTGGGATGACTGGAAGGACACTCATCCTAGGGGCTACGGTAACCGACAGAATATGGGTTAACCTTCCCACAGCACAACTACGGGTGTATCCCTTCCTCACCAAGCAGAACTGTGCATTCTTCCACTCCCTGGACTCCTACTTCAGCTGTGTTCAATGCAAGCAAAGATGCTGAATCTTGCCTCCTTCTCAATAAAGTGTCAAATAATTAAGTGTGTATTTGTGCCCTAGATGATGTGCCAGCAGTCTTGTTTGACATTATCATCCTTATCGTGCTGTATTACAGTTAATTAATGGAAAAGAAAAGAGCAGTGAGAAATGGCTCTGTATAATCAGTGGCTATATGAATTCTTTCTGAAAAATAAAGTCCCTTCTAATACACAAGCCTGTGCAAAGTATGAATATTAGCTGCTTTTGTGGGGCAGAGGTGGGAATCCAACTGTGGGTCTCTAGACTTATGGAGAGATCTCAGTCATCATGATCTGGACAGTGAATTGACCAGCATCAGAGCTGCCCAGATTTTCTCCTTCTTACTGAGCACATGGTATGAAACTATATGAGCAACAACACCCCATGCTATGAAATAACTATCTACAAGAGGAGCTCACAAAAATCCCCACTTCTCCTGCCATACAGCACTCTTTAGCAGGAATTAAGAGTTAAGGTGAGTGGTCCATAAACGGTTAGCCTATTTCCCAGTCCTCTCTACCTAATCCTTGCCTTGGCCAGAAGTGAGAGAGAGAGAGAAGGCTCTGTAAGAGTCATCCTTGTGTATTTATCTGAAACTTGGGCTTTTATTCTCAGAAACTGGATGAAGCCTCAGGTAGTAGATTTCATCTTACATTGGCTGCCATGGACCATTTTGGCCCTCCTTGACTATGCTGTGTGATACCTGGCACAGTCCAAACCAATGGCCTGAGTAAATGTGCCATGGTAGTTGTTTGGCTGAGAACTAAAGTGCCTGTAGTCATGCTGACAATAGTGTGGAGGTGGGAGATAGTATAGATGACAGTGACAGGTAATTACTTTTTGTGGTAGAGAGAAGTTAGTCTAGTATCCTCAGACCTTGGGTTGATAGCCCATAAAAGCACCCATGTGTTAAAACATGATCTATATAGGGGCCAGCAGGTGCCGTGGTGGTTAAGGGCACTGGACTCCCCCATGGCCGACTGCTGTTCACGTCCTGGACCTGGTGGCTTGCTTTCTTACTTTCTCTCTCTCTCTCTCTGTCTCTGTCTCTGTCTCTCTGTCTTTTCTGGTCATATTAAAATAAGTAAATAAAGCTAAATAAAATAATTTTAAAAAGACATGATCTGTATAGAAAGCATACTTTTGTTCTGTGGCTTTTGTTAAGTTTTCTTTTATGAAGATGACTCAGTCCTCCTATTCTAGCTTCTGCATTCTGGTCTAGGAGAAGTGTTTGAAAAGGAGAGTCAGTTCCCTTGTGTTTATACAGTGGTAAGTGGAGAGCTGTCAGGTGATGAGGAGGAGGTTGTGTTGTGTGGGAGATGACAGAAGACTACCAATAATATATTTGCATACTGCTTAATAAAGGAGTCATATCACCCTCAGCATAAGCTCCTAAAACCGGTAAAGCACAGATTAAATTCCACAGGGATTTGGGAAGCAAACACTGCTGTCAGCTTTCTTCCAGTTGCTGCCAGATGGCCTCTAGCAGTGGACTGTTTCCTGCTGTTAGATTTCATCCTGAACTCATTCCCCAAAAGGTTCAAGTTGGAGTTACCTCCTTGGTCCAAGTTCATTTGTGATTGTGCCTTCCAGAAGATCCAGCTTAATTAAGCCCTTCACAGTTGTGCTAAGAGGCTAACCAGACAGAATAGGTTTGAATCCTAGCTTTAGAAACTGCAAGCTTGGGGACCAGTAGATGGCATAATGGTTATGTTGCTGGACTCCCTCATAGCTGACCATAGTTTTAGTCCCATACCTGGTGGCTCGAAACTCACACCAGGTATGTGTGTGTGCATGCACGAAATCCCAAGAGGAGAATGGAGAAGGGATTGTAGTGTGGCCATACCCCTGGAGGGTGATTTTAAATTTTTTGTCTGTCTCTCTCTGGCATGTGTCCTATAGCAAAAAATCTAGTATAAAAAAAAAAGACCCTGGGGGGTCAGGCAGTGCTGACCCACATGGGAAGGTCCTGGGTTCCCATCCTAAGACCTCCCTAAGTACCTTGGGCATGTATGGGCCAATAAACTAGGACTGGCTGATGCTGGGGTTGGATTGCAGCATCAAGACCCTGTTGGGGCTTCTGTCTGTCTGTCTGTCTGTCTCTTTCTCTCCCCCCTCAGGGGAGAAATAAACTTCAAAAAAACACAAACCAGGGCCAACCAATGGCCTGGTGGCTAAGGACCAGATCCCACGTGGCCAACTGTGTGGATGGAATCCTGGACCCAGCAGCTTGAGAAACATGTTGGATGCATGTACGTACATGTCCAAAATCCCAAAGGTTTAGACAAGATGGACTAAGGATTTCTGAGTGACCATCCCCTATGGCGGTGATTTCTTGCTTTGTCTCTCTCTCTAAGAATGCATGAACCCTGTAGCAAAATTTAAAAACAAAAAGCAAAAAAAAGAAAAAATGCAAACTGTGTGACCTCAGGCAATAAAATGCATGACTGCCATTTCCTCAGTTTATGTAGATGAGCCATCTCCTGGGGTTGTGAGAATTAAATGAATAATGGCATCCATTTTAATAAACTCAGGTGACTGAAGAGTAGGTACTTTCAGTTGCTATAAGTCTAATAACAATAGTCAGTCCACTAAGAAGGGAAAGGAAATAGACAGGTGGCCAGCCTCTACTGTGTGCCAGGTGCTTTTCCCATACTACCAATACTCTAAATGACCCTGCAAAATAGGTAACATTATCCCTATTTTACATATGAGAAAATAGGCCAAGAGAAGCTAAGTGATTTCCTCAAGTTCATGCTAGTAAGATGCTATGCTTCTATCAATTTCCTTGTGCTTTCCAATTGCTTGTGTTTTTAGTTTTTTGTCTTAATACTGCTTAAAAATTCAAAACTAAAGCCACTACCTATACATCACGCAGCTCTAGAAATTCCTTGCTAGCTGATTCATCAAAGGAAAGGTTATGCCATCTCCCTGCATTTTCCTTCTCAGTTCTGTTGGCCTGACTGCTCAAGAAACCAAGAAAATGCTATCTTTTCTACTCCCATGAGAGCCAGGCCTTTCAGTGTCCTAGAGTGAATTGGGTTTGGTGAACTCCCAGAAGTGAGGACTTTTTTGAAGAAGGAGAAGAAGAAGAAGGAGAAGGAGGAGGAGGAGGAGGAGGAGGAGGAGAAGTAGTTGTTTTTGCTATAGGGCACCGAGAAAGCCAGAGAAAGACAGAAAGTAAGAAATCACCCCCCAGGGGGGACAGCCACACCGTAATCCCTTCTCCTCCATTCTCCTCTCAGGATATTGGGCATGCACGCACACATGCCTGGCGTGAGTTTAAGCCACCAGGTCCAGGACTCGAACTGCAGTCAACTACATGGGAGTCCAGCGACATAGCCATTACACCAACTGCTGGTCCCCAGAAGTGAGGACTCTTAAAGCTTGAAACATATCATTAATAACTACTTCATAGTTTGCAAAATGCTCTCACATACACTGTTTATTTCATTTTCACTACCTGTCATACAAGATATACTTCATTTTCCAGAACAGGCAACTGGCTCAGAGAGATGAAGTAAGTGACCTATTTCAGTCATAGGTAAGTAGAACAAACAAACATGTTTTAAAAGCCAAAGTATTGGGACCAGCAGATGGCATAATGGTTATATCACTAGATTCCCACATAGTCAACTGAGGTTCATGTCCCAGACCCAGTGGCTTCCAACTCACACGTGCTTGCATGCCCAAAATCCCAAGAGGAGAATGGAGAAGGGATTGCAGAATGTGGCCATCCTCCCTGGGGAGTGATATCTTGCCTTCTGTCTCACTGTCTATCTCTGCCTCTCTGGTTAGCAAACGCACCCTATAGCAAAAATCTCTCTCAAAAATAAATAAATAAGCCAAAGTATTTGCTTTCTGTGGCTCTCACATGGAAGTCAATTAGATTTGGGAAAGGTGAATGATAAGCAATATTTTGAAATATTCCACACTGATTTGACCTTTTCACCCTTGTTCCTTTCAACGCCACTGTGAGAAAGACAGGGCAGGGGACTGAATGAGCTGTTTTCTGAAGAAAGTTGGAGTTAGAAGTTGGATTTAGAGTCCAGAGTCAGAGTCTCTCTCTCTTTTTTTTTTGAGATGTTTTTGCTATAGGGTGTGTGCACTCGCCAGAAAGACAGAGAGAGACAGAGAGAAAGCGAGAGATCACCTGCCAGAGACCTGCTCCAGCCATGGTGGGCTGACCTGACAGAGGCGACGCGGGTGAGAAAAATCAGATTGAGACCTCGATGCTCTTTAGCATGTCCTCAGCCGACTACAGTCAGAGCGAGCTCAAAACTGCAGCCTCTATGGCCAGGAATCATACATATTTATTGAGGGATGTTTACAGGGGTTGGAGGGGTGAGGCAGAGGTAAAAGATTTTACTCTAAAGAATAGGGTATTCAAAAAATGGAAACAATAATCATAACACATGATGTACTGTTCTTGTTTGATCAGGTAAAAGCAGTTACAGCTCAGGGCGGGAGAGTCCATTTGTCCAGTACATTTTTTCTTAGATCTTGATTGCCGGGTAGGGCCTTCTGAATGAGGGGGTTTTCAGCAAGCTTGGTAACTTCAGTCCCAGGTTGGGGCAGCAGCAGATTGGCGGTTACAAAGGCCTAGACAGAAATCTTATTTGATTAAGTAAAGACATGGTTAATATATACTAAAATGGAACATCTATATATTGTTTCTAGGGTAATTTACAGCTAAGAGTGTAAGCCTGTTGCTCACATGGGAAAGGAATTGTGGTATTGTGAGCAGCTTAATGACTAACCAAAAGTTTATTATGTACATGTGAACCTGAGAGGGACTTCAGTATTGTTTATTGTTATTTTCCAGGCAGGTGGGTGTAGTCTAATTCCCATTCACCTCTGCCTTAGGAATCTGCATTCTCTTAGGATTATTAATTGTAAAAGTTACAGTAAGGCTGGGGGTGTTATTCCACTCTTACGGGGCACTGTGATGACAGTAAAGCCCATGGCAGGGAGATTAAAAGCACAAACCAGTACTGCAAACACAGTTGGAACCTTGAGCTGTTAGCTGTCGCCCTGCGTACAGCTTTTTCTCAGCCAAGACTTGTTTAAACATGAGAGATAGCTCTTTGTGTTCTGCCTGTGTTAGCCGCATGGTCTTCGTCAATCACCCCCCAGGGGTGATGGCCATGCTGCAATCTCTTCTCCTCCATTCTCCTCTCGGGATCTTGGGCATG